ATTTCCTTTGGCAAAGTCTTGTAGTTTTCATTGTTCGCAACTTCCATTTCCTTGGTTAGTCTTATTCCTAAGTGTTTTATTTGTTTTGATGCTATTGTGAATGGGATTATTTTCTTTCTTTTTTCAGATTTTTCATCCTTAATGAACAGAATTGCAACTGATTTCTGTATGTTGATTTTGTATTCTGCAAACTTTACTGAAATCATTTATTAGTTCAAACAATTTTTTGTTGTGTCTTTTGGATTTTCTATATACAAAATTATATTATCTGCAAATAGCAACAGTTTTACTTCTTCCTTCCTGATTTGGATGTGTTTTCTTTGTCTTGCTAATTGCTCTGGGTTGGGCTTCCAGTATTATCTACAATAATAAAGGCGTAATATGCTAATTGAACTGGACAACCAAACCACTTTCTGGATGTCATTTTAGACAAAGCCACCGCAGCAGGGGCTGAGGCAAAGGTGGTTAGAGGCAATCAGGCAGGCAGGCGAGTGGTTAGGGGTGATAAGGCAGGCAGGCAAGTGGTTATGGGCAATAAAGCAGGCAGGTGAGCAGTTAGGAGTTATCAGTCAGGAAGGTGAGCAGTTAGGGGCATCAGGCAGGCAAGCAGAGTGGTTAAGGGCAATGAGGCAGGCAGGCAGAGGTGGTTAGAGGTGGTTAGGGGTTATCAGGCAGGCAGAGGGGATAGGGTTAATGTGGCAGAAAGGCAAGTGGTTAGGGGCAATAAGGCAGGCATGCAGAGTGGTTAGGGATGATCAGGCAGGTAGGTAGAGTGGTTAGGGACAATCAGACAGGCAGGCAGAGTGGTTAGGGACAATCAGGCAGGCAGACAAGCAGTTAGGAGCCAACAATCCAGGATTGTGAGAGGGTGCAGGCTGGGCTGAAGAACCCTCCCCCACCATCTCCTGTACACAAATTTTGTGCACCAGGCCACTAATATTGAATAAGAGTGAGTGGGCATCCATGTCTTGTTCCTGATCTTAGAGTTCACACAAGGCTGCAGGTATGTTTACACAATATTGCAATAAAAAGGCCCTTCTAATTCATCAAATAAAAGCAAAGAACCAGAAGTAAAAATATTGCTGGATTGTACATAAATTTAAAATTTCTGTATGTCCAAAATAGAGTTGGAGAAAAGATTTTGCAGCACATATTAGAAAAAGAGGGCTAATGGCATTTAAAAAAATTTTTTTTAAGGATTCTGCAAATCTGTTTACAAAATCCACTCAAGTAGGAAAAATGGGAAAACTATAGGGACGGGTAATTTTCAACAGAGCAAGTAGAAAATGTTACAAATATGGCTGGAAGTAGGGGTAAATGGCGGTCTTGTGCACAGAAACATTTCAGAAATAGTGGATTAAATAAAATTAAACCATTTTCCTTACTGTGAGATTTCTCAGAACCCTTAACATGTGGAACACCGCTGTGACTTTACAGAAAAGGTGACCATAGAGCTCCTCTCTGAACAGCTTCTAGCAGGAGAGAGGCTCTAGGGAACATACTTGAGGAAACGCTGCATTAACTTATTTGCTCCTGCAACAGCCCCTATTACTTTTCCCACTGAACGAGAGGACATAATGTGATACCGGTGGCCTAAGTTACATTAAGTCCTCTGCCATCATAGCTCCACTGCTTCTCCTGGGGTGTTGGACCAAGAACTGGATCTTCAAAGTCTTTACAAAGAAGGAAAAGCAAAGGCAGTTGCTAAATTGTTGTTCTAAGTCCCTTGTACTTCCAGAACTTTGGGTCCAGACCCTAGAGGATCACCTTAAATGATATATTCACTGAGCCTAATGCATTTACTTTGATTATAATCTCCTCACTTCCAGGGCCATTTGCTCTCACTCAGCACTCCCATGGGCCTCTCGCTCAGCTCTGCAGGAGCCAGGTAAGAGGTTGCAGGCCTCTCCCCATCCTCTGCACTGGATTTGCCTCGCACAGACCTGGAATATTCTTGGGGTATCCAGTGAACTCCAGGATCAGTGGAATGAGAAACTGGAGCATCTTCTTTTCATTCCAGCCCAGAATTGCCCAACTTGTGCCTCCAGCCCAAGGTGATAAAATGCCAGCTGCAGCTGCTTAGATTGTGATAATCGCAAATACAAGGTCCTGGGTGACATCACAGTAAGCTGGGGGTTAGAGAGGAAGTAGGGGAGCAAGGTAGACTGGTTGAGTCTGCAGGGGAGACTCCATTGCAGGCCTTGGCTCTGAGCCTCCTAAGGAGTCCTGTATTCTATCATCTGCTTTGGCATTAATAAACTTTGGGTCTTTGGGCATGTTTTCATGGTCTCTGGACCCAGATCTCAAAGCCTCTACGACTTCTTAGGAGATTTGGATTTTATTGTGAGGTTAATGGGGAGAGTAGTGAAATGAAAGCAGGTCATATAATCCATGTGCATTAAAAGATTATTCTGGGTGTAACATGGAGATTATTTGAGAAAAGATGACTAGAAAAGAGACTATTGTAGAGGAAGTGGCTTCAATTATACGGGTGAGAGATGAGGTAGCCTAAAGTAGGAAAGAGGGTGCGTATTTTCGTTTGCTAAGACTGCCATATAACAAAATGCCACAGACAGGGTGGCTGAGACAACAGAAACATCCTGGTTCTGGAGGCTGGTAAGTCCAAGAGCAAGGTGCTGATGGGGCTAGGTTCCTTCTGAGGAAGGATCTGCCCAGGCCTCTCCCTTTGGCATGCAGATGGCTACCTTCTTGCTGCCTCTTCACACTGTCCTCTCTCTGTACATGGACACTCCTGGGTCTCTTCCTCTGCTTACAAAGACACAAGTCCCAGTGAACTAGGGTCCTGCCCCGAGGATCTCATTTTACTTTGATTACCTCTTTAAAGACCTTGTCTCCACACAGGGTCACATTCTATGGTCCTGAGGGTTTGGACTTCAATCTCTGAAACAGATGGAATTGAAATACGAAAGAGGTTGAGTGTGGAAATACTGTGATTGATGAGCCCTGCAGGATGAGTTGGCAGATACATTGCATATTCGGGCATTGCATGGGGGGGGGGAGGTACATATACTGAAAAAATTTGTTCTTGATCTGAAATTCAAATGTAACTAGGCATCCTGTATGCTTATTTGTATACAGCCTTAACCTGCCCTGAGTGTACTCCCTAGTTCAGTTCCAAACTGCTGGCCAGGATGGTGGTAAACAAAGTCACTACAATAGGGCCACCCTGGGGACCTCTGGAGCCTCAGCCAGGCAGCAGTCCTGGGCAGACTATGTCATCATGTGCCTGCTTTGCTCTTAGAATTTCTATAGATTTTTTTATAGAACTTCTTTCCACACCTGGGCCCCCATGTTCACCCAGTTCCAGCGGGGAGCCATTCCCATTGTGATCTATAGGAATGGTGCCCTCTGGAGTTGTGACTAGGCATGGCACTTTTGTCTCACCCAGGCATCCCACCCAAGCATGGTGCAGCCCACTGTTACTGTGAAGAAGCTTGGCAAAGAAATGGCACACAGTGAATGAATGTCACAAGCAATAGGGCCCATGTTCATAGGAGAGATATAGCCCCAGTGGAAATGGGTCTTCTTAGAGGTGAGCTGTGATTTTGTTCGGATACTTTTCTAGAAAGTGAGCAGCAGTGGCGGGTGGATGTGCCTGTCATCCCTGCATCCCCACTGGTGGGATCCGTTGTCATCCTCCCAGTCAGACCTTGCCCAGGTTTCTCCTCTTCTCCTCTCCCCCAGAACCAACGGAAGGTGAGCAAAGGAAAAGCTGCAGGCATTTTGCCAGGGGTGGTGGCAGGGCCAGGGGAGGGAGTTCAAAGGAAGCACAAAGGGAAAGCCCAGAGCTTCCTGGTGGCAGGCCAGGCCAGGTGGCCTGGAATCTTTGGGACCTTTACCCATACGCCCTTAATGCTCTGTTGAGGATGCAGATGAGGTGTTATTCAAGACAGGTGAGGACAGCACCATCCATGGCCACACAACAGAGTGGCCCAACCCTGATAGTGGACACCAGGGCGCTGAGGAGTGGCTGCAGGGAGGGGCCACAGAGAGGAGCAAGTAGCTAGAAGTGTAGTACAAAAAGGCCACACCTGGGTTGCATAATCTTGTTTTGATCTTCACACCTTTACTTGTGAGCACTGTTATCCCTTTTCTGCAGATGAGCAAGTAGAGGAGATGAGCACATTAGGAACTGAAATGAGCACATGACTCACTTCCCACCATTGGGCCTGCCCAGCGGCCAGCGAGGCCGTCCTGAGAGTGCCTGGGTCCAGTCTACCTGAGTCAGTGCATAGTAAGTGTGAGGTAAACAGGAAAGTCCAAATCTATGACCCAGGACCAAACCCGCTGATGTGAGGAGAAGCCATGAATTAGGCATTTGCATCTGTGAGTCTGATCCTTTCATCTTTAGATGTGGTCAGGGACTTACCTGGGGGTTGGGGAATCATGTGGCATAAACCTGAAAAGTGGTGAGAGTGGGCATTGTCACCCGCTGGGCTGGGTATGAAGGAAGGCCAGGCCTCTGAACCCAGCCTGTGTGGTCCATGTTGGCAGCCCCAGGTCAGAGGCAACTGCCATCCCTCCGCGTTATTGCTGGGGGAGGCCCCCTGGGCTCCCTGAGCTCCTCCCCATCCTCAAGATCCAGCCTGGCAGTCCCTTGCTCAGGCCTCAGGCGCACATTCACAGAGACCTCTGACGTGACAGGTTCTGTGAGAGAGGAGGCATTTGAGCCTTGAAACAGGCTTCTTAGGGCAGGGACCACAAGCAAGCTGCCCACCAAAGACTTGGTGAAGGGTAGGCCATCCCCAGGTCAGCGGGAAGAGATCTCAGACAAGATGATTTCAAGGATTAGAGCCCTCTGTGCAACCATGTTAAGAACAAATGGCAAGAAGAGAAACCTGCAGGACCCAAGTTCTCAAGCACCCCACCCATTGTGACATCGCCACCTGGGCTGGCTGGGAGAGGAGAGGCGATGGCAGGGTCTTTCCCCTCAGCCCTGGCCTCCGCCACCTTCTGGGCCAGCAGCAAAGCCAAAGGCCATGCTCCTGTTATCAGTTTTGCTGCTCATGTCCCAAGCCAGGAGTGCACATCTCGGTATGTTGACTCCTCCCATGTCCTCCCACCCCCCATGGCCAGAGCAGCTCTCCCAGTCCCTGCTCGTGGCCCCTTCTCCTAGTCAGTGGTGAGCATTGGGGGCAGTGGAGGGAGTTGGTTAGTGAGCTCATTGATTAATTAATTGACTACAGCAAATACTAATGGAGTGGCTCCTCTCCTGGAAGCTGGGCTGGGACTCTCTCTCCAGAGACAGATCTCTCTTCTCTACACAGGCAGTTGCAGCCTGTGCTCTCAGCCTCCCAGGAAACACAATGTTCTAGAACAGTTCAGGGCTTCTGGAAGGTTCAGGCCCTTTCTGGAACCACTCTGGTTTTCCACATGAATTAGTTCCCTAGGACTGTTGGAACCAACCACCACAAACTTAGGGGCTTCAACAATACACATTTCTAATCTTATTTAGTTCTGTTGAATGCAGAGGTGTGGAGGTCTCCCTGGGCTAAAATCAAGGTGTCAGCCGGACTGCATTCCTTTCCGAGATTCTCGGGAGAACCTTTGCCCTTCCTAGCTTCTGAAGGTCATCTCCATCCTTCAGCTGAGGGCCCCTTCTTCCATCTTCCAAGCCAGCAGCACTGCAATTCCTTGCCTTTCTTCCCTAGTAATATTTCTTCTTCTTCTGCCTGATCCACTACCGTTAAGGACCTTTCGGATTCACTGGGCTCACTCTGATTATCCAGGACAATCTCCCCAGTTTGCTTTTATTTTAAATATATTTTTATTGATTTTAGACAGTAAGGGAGAGAGAGAAATAGAAACATCAATGATGAAAGAGAATCACTGATCAACTGCCTCCTGCATGCCCCCTACTGGGGATCAAACCAGCCACCTGGCCCTGGGTCCTGATAGAGAATTGAACTGTAACCTTCTGGTTCATATGCTCAAGCACTGAGTCACGCCAGCCAGTCCAATCTTCCCATTTTAAAATCAGCGGATTAGCAACTTTAATTCCTTCTCCAAAATCCCTTTTGCCTTATAAGGCACTATCCACCAGGACATGGTCCATTAGGACATGGACATTTTGGGGGGAGGGAAGTGTTATTCTGCCTGCCACTCTATAGTTGGTGATGGAAAATCTTTTCCTCTGATTTCTCTTGGGTGAGAGCAGAGACAAGCTCAGTGAAAACTCTCCTGGGATCACAATGCTGGAGGGGGCAGAGCCAACACTTCTGACCCATGTCCCAGGCGCTGGCTACAAACATAAAGCATCCGCTGGCTTACTCGTGTACCTGGGTGCTTCCCTGAGCCAGCCTTAAATTCCTCATATCTAGAATGAACATAATGGTAGCTACCTACAGGCCTCCTATAGATATTGATTGAGTGGTTTCATTTTTTTCCTTTCTTCCTCTTCCATGTCACCAGCATGCGGCAAAAGACCCATTTATGAGGAAAAATTTCAGCATTCCAGAATCATAGAGGGAATGGAGGCTGAGGAGGGTGAGTTCCCATGGATGGTGAGTATTCAGGCAGGAAATCAACATTTCTGTGGCGGTGCGATCATCAACAATTGGTGGATTATCACTGCGGCTCACTGCTTATCTAATGATGAACTAAAGTAAGTATCAAGAGCCCATCCCGGTTGCATCTGACACTGTCCACCCTCGGAGCATCCCCTACACTCAGGCAGACCTGATTGCTAATGGGAGGCCCAGGGCCTGTCAGTCCCAAGTCAGACAGGATGGCCCTGGGACTGAGGAGGCGGTGAACTTCTGCTGTGCCCACCTTGAGGTCACCCAGGGCCAGTAACTAGGGCTTCCCTGTGATCACACACTCCAGGAGCACCTGGCCTGGCAGAGTTACAGGATTTGGTTCATTTACCTCTCCTAGGACAGACAAATCCCTCCAGGAAGAAATTTTCTTCTTTCTGAAAGCTTGGATTTCCAGGCCATGGGACCCCCACTTCCCTCCTCCCTGTAGGGTTTTCCTTAAGCTCCAGGAGATGGGTAGCAAACACAGAATTTACTGATTACTAATCATGGCCTGGTGACCATGTATAAGCAACTACCTCTATTGTTTCATCATACAACCACCCTCTGAGGCAGGTAGAAGGAACAACCGTGTTTTATAGAGAGGGAAACTGAAATCCAACTGACTTTGAAGGGTAAATGGAACATCTGGGAAAGTTTCTCCATGGCACGGCCAGTAGCTTGTTGCATCTGCCCATATGGGATACTTAGAGACTGGCTATTGGAAAGTTCCTGGCCATTCTGCTTGGAGGGAATTCCTGAATTATGACTGAAGACTCTTCCTGTTTAATTAGTGGCATGTCTGGATTAAACTCCATTCTGATGTCTATTAGTTGCTGGCAGGCGAAACGATGTAATCCTACCTTACCGCTCTGTGGGCTGGTTTGGTCTGTGCCAGGTGGTGGGCTCTTTGGAGCAGACAAAGCAAGCTCTGCCTTGGCCCCATTAGGAGGGATTGTCTCCTCCACACCTCTGGGACTGTGCTGGGTACCGTGTCACTGTGGTCTGCCCACAAAGACTGCTTCGCCCTCCTTCTTTACCTTTTAAAAATTATCACATCTTCTTAGCAACAGCCCTGGTAGAACAAATTGTAAAGGCCCCTAGAAATATATGGGATGTAGGTTTTGGGGGCACAGCAAATTCTGGGTGCTTGTGACTTTCCTTCCCCTCTACCTGCCCTCTCCGGTTCTGTGCTGCCCAGTCCCATGGACTTGAGCATTGTGCTGGGAACCAACGACTTGCAGAGCCCCTTCCTGGAAGTGAAGGGGGTCACCAGCATAGTGATTCACAAGAACTTCGAAAGGTTCACCATGGACAACGACATCGCCTTGCTGCTGTTGAACACAGAGATCAAGTTTAGCGGCCTGAAAGAACCCATCTGCATGCCCAGGCAGCCCGGCTCCGCCAAGTGGAACAAATGCTGGGTGGCAGGATGGGGGCAGACCAAACCTGGTACGTGACCATGAAGTAGCTTCCGAGAGCTGTTGGGGGAAGCACCAACAGCTCTGGAGATGGGCCACTCAATCTAGAGGAGGCAGGAGGAGAGTGAAAGGAGAGAGGGCTGAGGGGCAGGGACAAGAAACGAACTTGCATTGGAGCACATTCCTGCCCAGCAGAGGCTCGAAGAGGCCCAGTCTCAGCCTCCGAGGAGCAAAGAAGCATCACCCCAAGACCCAGGCTGAGATGCCAGGTCTGAGACAGCCCCGGGTGTGGTCGTGCTCAGCCAGCACACAGCAGTCTTGTTTGCTTGTGTAAGTGAATTTAAATTCTCCAGTTTGCCAGGGGCCACTCTCCTCTTTATTCTCTCACATCTCCCTTGATTCACACACCGCTGTCTCCCACCTGGTTTGTACAGGCGTTCACGGTGCCTGTCCAAGTGTAGACCTTTGATGGTCCTGGAGGGTTGCCCAGCCAGTCTGAGAATCTGTTGGTACTTGTTACCTGTTGTTACACTGTTACTCTGCCAAAACAGGAGGAACTTGTCCCAGGGCGGAGAGGGATTATGAAAGCCTTGCTGGACTGTCCCCAAAGAAAACTCAACAAAAGCAAGAGCCAATAGGTAGGGGGTGGGAACATCACAGCCCTGTTTCAGGCCCGTGAGAGACTCTGGGTCCACAGGGACGCTTTGCCCCAGGCTGAGGCCTGGAAAATGGTAGGTATTGCAGGAGTTCAGTAGCTAGAGGGCCACTGGCGTGTGACTGCTCTGCGCACCAGGCACCCCTCAAGAGTTAGAAGTGAAGGAGGAGGCCTCCAGATTAAAAGGAGTCAATAAGGAGAAGACTTTTGAAATGTCTATGTGGTCAGAGTTGGTGAGCTAGAAGGAAGCTGGCTGGAAAGGGCCCTGGGAAGTCCCCTGTGAAGACCTGCAGCCAACCTCCCCTGCCCAGAGGACTGGAAAACTTTCCACTGGGCATGCCGGTCCACATTCAGCAGTCCTGTGTCAGGGGAGGGCCATCTCTCATCATCCAAAGTGGCCATGGCAGGCAGGAAGAGGAGACAGGACTGTGCTGAGAAATGACCGATAGCCAATTCCGAGAGGTCAAGTCTGTAGGGCTGGCTGGAGTCAAGTTGGAAGTCTTCTTGGAAGCAGGGGTCTGATTTTGAATGCGAGGAGTGATTCGAGTAGGTGGGGAATTGTAGGAAAACCTGGGGTGGTGGAGTGAGTGAGTTGTATGGGATTGAGGGAAGGAAGTAGTGAGGGGGAGGGGGGAAATGAGGTTGTGGAGGAAGGTGGAGGGCAGCAGGGATGCGCAGGGTGGTTGAGAGCAGGTCGCTTGCATTACCTACACACACAGACTGCTGTCCAGCGCCTTTCCTAATGTGCTTTCTCTTTGGGCCAGATGATAAAAACTCTGAATCCAGTGACCTGATGAAAGTGCCAATGGTCATCATGGATCGAAGAGAATGTACAAAGGTGTTTCCAAAGCTTACCAAAAACATGCTGTGTGCTGGGTATGTGAACAAGAGCTACGATTCCTGCCAGGTAACTAGGGGTGTCCCTTCCCTGCCTTTCCAGGTCCTCCTCCCCTCAGGGCTGCAGGCAAGGGTGTCCTCTCTCCACTGGGAATAAACAGCGAGTCTGGGAAATGTGTGGGAATCAGGGCGTGGCCCTGGGAATGGGGACATGGATTGGGAAATACTCATTGTGAGGTTCTTAGAGTGATACCAAAAACACAGTTCAAAAGAGGAAAAATTGGTAGACTGGACCCATAAAAATCAAAGATTTTTCTCTATGAAAGACCCTATCAAGAGGACAAAAAGCAAGCTATGGGTTGGGAGATAATATCCCATAAAAGAATTATACTTAGAATAGATAACAAACTCAACAGTAGAAAAACAAACAGTGCAATTGAAAAATGGGCAAAAGACATGAACAGACATTGCACTGAGGAGGATAACCGGATGGTAAATAGGAACATGGAAAGATGTTCAGTGTCATTGGCCATTAAGCCAAAGCAAATTCAGCTCACAATGAGACCTCAACTGCATGCCTCTCCAAATGGATAAAATAATAATAATAATAATAATAATAATAATAATAATAATAATAGTAACAATGCCAAATGCTGACAAGAATGCTGAGAAACTGGACACATTGCTGGTGGGACTTTAAAATAGCCCAACCACTCTTTAAAACTGGAACATGCTCTGGCCACATAACCTAGCAAATGCTACTCTCAGGCATTCATTTCAGGCATTCAAAACAGCCTTGCCAGCATGCTCAGTGGTTAGAGCCTCAGACCTTGCACCAAATGGTTCAATCGAGGGGTCGAGGATTTGATTCAATCCCCACTTGGCCCTGGTCAAGCACATGCAGGAAGCAACCAATCAGTGTGTCTCTCTCACATCCATGTTTCTCTCTCTCCCCCTCCCTCCTTTCCTTTCACTCTCTGTAAAAATTAATGGAAAAAATATCATCCAGTGAAAATTAGCAACAACAACAACAAAAAACAAAAACAAATAAAAACAAAGAGAAGACAAAGCTTCCCAGACACAGTAGTTAAAAGAAGATCCGGGATTACAGCCGTGCCATAGACCTAAGGGAGCAACCAGATCAAGCTGGAGCTGGAGACAAAGAGCTCCAAATAGTAATAGAAGGTGGCGGTTGGAGGGCACAGCAGTCAACAGTCAGTGTGCATAGAAAGAGAGCATCCCAAAGAGAACGTGGGGAAATCAGAGGCTTGAAACAGCATCATGTGTTCAGGGAAGTTCCAGTGTTTCAGAAGCCAGAGGTGATGAGCTGTGTGGGCAGGGGAGCAGCGCAGTAAGGGAGGTCGTGCCATGCGTGGGAGATTACAGCTATCCCTGGCTGTGCTCCTATGCTCACGCAAGAATATAAGAAGCAGCCCCCACCCATACTCCCACTCTCTTTCCAATCTCTTTGATTCAACCCCATCCCCTATTCCAATGGCCCAACCAACTGTGGCCACATCTGAAATCATCAAGTGTCATCTCCGGTGACATTTTCTGCAGCCTCTGCTGCAGTAGCTGAATATACATCCAGAGTCTAGGCTTTTTGTTGCAATCTCTTGTAACAAAAAGTGCACTTTAATGAGAGCTTCGAAAATTAATCCTCTATTAGTTAAATGTTCTGTAAATAAATGTGCTGTTATTGTTTTAAACCTTTTTTTTAGTTGTGAAATGAAAAGTTTTGCCCTCTGTTTATTTTATTTTTTTAAATATATTTTTATTGATTTTGTACAGAGATGAAGGGAGAGAGATAGAGAGTTAGAAACATCGATGAGAGAGTCATTGATCAGCTGCCTCTTGCACACCCCCTACTGGGGATATGCCCACAACCAAGGCACATGCCCCTGACTGGAATCAAACCCGAGACCCTTCAGTCCCCAAGCCAACGCTCTATCCATTGAGCCAAACCAGTCTCGGCTGCCCTCTGTTTAGAAAGCTTCCTATTGTCAACAGTAAGCTGACAGTGATCCAGTAAAGGAAATTTTTCTGAAATTATACAACATTACCGTCACTTTAAAACAAAGAAACCATTTAAAAATAATTGCCCTTAAAAATAAAATCACACTTTTAAATTTAGCAAACTTTAAAAAAGCATGTAATCACACAATTAAGGGAAATGATCACTTTAGGGTGATAGCATTTAAATGTTCAAAATAATGGCAATAAAATTATGCTATGCTTAAAATACAAATTAGCAGTAAATGCTAAAATTAAAAACAGTTGGATTTTTTTGGTTTACTTTTCCCAGAACTTTTCTTCTTTGTAATCTCCTGGTGAAGGTTATAATGTGAGAAGAAAAAAAAAGTTAAATTAAAAAAAAATAACCATTTTTAAGTGGCATAGTCAAGCAAAATATAACATCACACATATACTGGCTAGTAACAGTACTTTGTGAGTGATTTACAGATTTTTAAAAATTTCATCTGCTGACAATCTTGGGAAGTAGTTGGTATTATCCCTATTTTAATGACATGGAAACTGAAGCTTTAAAAAGTTACTTGCCCAAGGACAGTTCTCTCCTTAATATGTAAGGAAATAAATAATCAAGACAACCTATTAATAAAAATTTTATAACATAGATGCCTTCATAAAATTGAAGGAAATTATAAAATATCATTTATAGGAGGAGCTATTTGAATAGAGATCCTGTTGATTTGGTTCTTGCCCCATGACTTTGAAACAGAACTAGCACCAAAAAAGCATACACCCACAAAAAACAGATGAGTAGTAGAGCAACGCTGTGTATGGATAAAGGAATTTTGATTTTGGCTAAAGCTAACTGTGTCCTTGAACTCTGACCTCTCTGTAATTCTGCTCTATTTAACCCTCTATTTGGTGATGCACAGCCAACCCAACCTCTACTTGAAAACACTTTATCAATTATCTTCTCCTGCACTTTATCTCTCTAAGCACACTCTGACCTGGGCACTAGTCACCAACATCTAGGTCATCAGATCAGGTGGATTTTAATTCATTCCTCTTCATCCTGACCTTCAGATACTCATCATTTCACCTCGTCTTAACCAATCCCTCTACCTTCTCTCTGGCTCCTCTCTACACAGTCCCATACACTCGTCTGTCAAATTCCTAGTCATCCTTCAAACAAAGTGCCTTGGAGTTTCTTCTGACAGAACTTTCCCTCAACAGAATCAGTTCCTCCTCCTCTGCACTGACTAGATTTGTTCATACTTCTCCTGCCTCATCAAACACAGTTAATCCTACTTGTTTATATTATCTCCCCCACTAGAGCATAAGGTCTTGTATCCCCGTTGCCTAACAATTAGTTTTTCCTCAATGAAAAACCTCTTTTGACATTCTATGATTTTAGTAGAAAACAAGAATCAAAATACCTACCTCACAGAGATATGAGGTGGTGGGGTTGAAAAAGAAAGTTAAGGGGCTAACACAATGCTTCTCACATGTCCAGGAAATGTTAGTCCTACTGCTCCTCCTCCTGCCAGAGTCCAATCATCCTAGTCACATGTTTATGATCATGGAAGAGGAGGCCATCTCCCCGCTTCTCTAGGCCTGTGCATATTTACTCCATCTTCTAGCGCCCATCTGCAGCTGGAGTTATTTTTCACCAGGCCCTTCTTCCATTTCCTCTTCCTCTTCCTCTCCCTCCTCCTCCTCCTCAATATTCAGTCCTACCCCATCCACTGCCCACACTCTACAGCCTACAGTTCCCAGAGCCAGGCTGACAGCAACACACTCCCCTGGGGGCCCGGGATTGAGGTGGGCAGTGGGCAGTAGGCAGTAATGACAGATTTCCTTTGATAGTCTCGAGGAGGGGAGGCCAAGGGATCCTCTCCCATCTGTGAAAGTTCTGCACAAATGGGCAGTTGAGAATGAGACTTGCTACTGAACTGTGTTCTCTGCCCACAGGGTGACAGTGGAGGGCCCCTAGTCTGCACCACAGAATCCGACAGGAAGTGGTACCAGGTGGGCATCATCAGCTGGGGAAGAAGCTGTGGACGGAAGAACATTCCAGGAATTTACACCTTGTTAGATAATTATGGCCCCTGGATCAAGAAGGTGACGGAGGTGGAGGGAAGGTCCTATGACCCTGAGAAAGTGAGAACTGAGGAGGTGAGAGCTCCTTCCCCAGAGACACAGATGAGATCCAAGGCCTCAGAATTCCCAGAGCCCAGTGGCCCCAGACTCTGGCTCCTGCTCTGCCTTCTGTCCTACATACTGTTCTAGGCCATTTTCTACTGGCGATAAAACAAGTGCTATACCATAACCAAGGAGAATGTGTTTTAATGATTGTAGCCACGTGGCTACATTGGGGAGAAGTGGGTAGTGAGGTGGAAAGAACAGATGTTGACAGGGACTGTTTCTCAAAAATGACTTCCAAGTGAAGGCCACAATGACCCCAGGCCCTCCAGTTTGCATCCTACCAGCTAAGCAGCCTCAGTGGAAATAGCATCTGATTCCTGACAATTCTAGTAAGTCTGTGGTCTAACTCTGTGACTCAGAAGCCCCACAAATGACCTGAAAGCTTCTACATCTGCCTGGAGGGGGACTCCTATCTCCTGTAGCCACAGGGCTGTGATGGCTAAAAATCAAACTCACAACCTCAACCTGAGACTTGCGGATGTCTACTGTTAAAGGCATTGATGGAGAAGGAATGTGATCCTGAACACTTGAATGGGGGTGTATGAGAAGACCCTGATGGAACTGGGACCCCAAATTCTGATTAGTTTTCTTTGGCAGTGGCCACAGTCTTCCCCTACTCCCCCACCCCTACCCCCACCCCTCAGTAAGAGGGACCTCTTTGCTCACCCCAGGGTATTAACCCTGCATTGCTGAGGAAAAGATCATGGTCTTCCCTGAGGTGGCTGTCAAGCAAGACAATGCTGATTCTCCTTGGAACCCCACTCCACCTCCCTCTCTGCTTCTATAACTAGACTCAAGTCCCGGCAGACTCCTACACGTGAAGTACAAAGCGTGACCCATGAGGATGGACACACACCCCAAAAGAACCTCTTGAGTTTTCTAATTCGATAGAAATCTAGGCATGGATATTGAGGGTGGGATAATGGTGGGAGGAACATACATTTGCATCAGGTAAATTGATTGATATGGGTTCACGAAGCAGGGATTCTGCATCTAATGTTACATCTGCATCTACTGTTCCCAGAGTCAGGAAGGGCTCCACCAGTCTGTGTGGCCAAAGCATATAGATACTAAAAGGAGACCCACCGAGAGTGAGTTGGAAAGACTGGGCCTGCTTTGGTGTAATGCAGAGGGGGATTGGAATGTTGGCATGGATTTGTCATTGAGACCTACTCGCCCACCGTGGGAAAAGACATAATTTTGTGAGTGAGCCCAGCATTCTAGGAGAGCTCTGTGGTCGCTCTTCCCTGCAGGCCAGACCTCACAGGGGTACCTGCAGCCACTGAATTGGGAAACCTCAATGCAATGAGGGTAACTGGATCCCTGGAATGGCAGGGGAAAATGGGGGCACTCAATCGACAAAGGCAAGGTGGGTGTGGTTACTGAATGAAGAGTCAAAGCAGCAATTACAATAGTCCTATATGCACAGAGCCGTGATGTTAGCTCACTGATCATGGTGTTCTATATAAGCAGAAAAATTCTAGGTCAAATGAATAAAGTTTAATTTGAATCATACAAATAGAGAGTTGTGGCTCCTTTATCAGTTCTCAGACTTGAGCCGGTTTATAGCCCAACGCCCCTTGAATGAAGGGGAGGTTGGTTCCCCCAATGAGGGACTCCCGTGCACCACCAAACGTTTACACGCTAATCTTTCTCCCAGCCTTCTCCAACTGCACTGGGGGAAAGGAAATAATCAGGCCTTTGGGGGACCACTGCACACTGGCTCTGACCCGACAGATTCCAGGGAACCAGTGTCCCTGTGACCCATCAGTCAGAGAAGGGGCTTGTTGAGATCAGGTGAGCAAATCCATCTCACATGGGCCAGGGAGTCCCCAGATCCTTCCCATGATCACTCCCCAGTTCTCGGGTGTGTGAGTATGATAGATGCACTGAGCAGCTGGCAGCGTTCCCACACTGGTCCCTGGCCTGGGAGTGAGGGATATTATGTGGGAAAGGCCACGTGGAAGCCACCAGAACTGCCCCTACCTGGAAAAGAGTGAACCAAAGTAACAACATGCACCTGAAAAGATTGCAGAGATGAGTGCCACCATCAGGGCCTACAGGACGCAGGGATAGTAACTCCCCTATACCCCCACCCATCCTTCCTATCTGGCCTGAGCAGAGAGTGCTAGGTCTCTGAGAGGATAGAGGATTATTGTAAACTTAACCAGGAGGTGACTCATGTGGTTTCATGGTTTGAGAAAATTACCACATCTCCTAATATTTGCTGTGTAGCTATTGATCTGAAAAATGCCTGATTCTCCATCCCTGTGCATATCATTCACCAGAAGCAGTCATCTTTTAGCCAGCAAGACCAGTGTCACACCATCAGTGTGTTCTACTTCTTGGCCATATCAACCCTCCAGACCTATGTCAGAATTTAGTTTTCAGGGCTCTTAATCACAAGACCTCTTTCCCTTCACAAGATACCACACTGGTCCATTGCATTGACAACACTGTGCTGATTGGACCAAATAAGCAGCTACTCTAGACTTATTAGTAAGACATTTACATGCCAAGGGAAGGGAAACAAATATGAAAAATTTCAGGGTCCTTCTACCCTTGGTGAAATTTCTACGTCATCCCACCAAGTAAGGAACCATGACCAGCTGAGGTGCTTGCTGAGGGCAAAGAAAATGCAGAATAGGTATTATTATAGAAAGGGTAGTTATAAATACCAACTATGACCATGTGACCAGTTACAGTAATGGACTATAATTGTCATGAGTATTTTTCTCTTATTTGTTATGCATGTTTGTATATGTATATATTAAGCAAATATCTTTTTCTTATCATGTAACATAAGGTATGTTGACTTAGATCATAGCTGTGTCTGTGTATGTGTGTGTTTGTTAATCCTCACCTGGTGATACTTTTCCATTGACTTTTAGAGAAAGTGGAAGGAAGTGGGGGAGAGACAGAGAGAAAAACATCAATGTGAAGGAGATACATTGATTGGTTGCCTCCCACACAAGCTCCAATTAGGTCCTGCAACCGAAGTACATGTCCTTGACTGAAATAGAACGTGGGACCCTTTAGTCCGAGGGGTGATGCTTTATCTACTGAGTCAAATCGGCTAGGACTATGTCATAGTTATGGGACTTTATATGGAATAGTACTTAAGTTACAGGATATTAAGAAGACTAAACATTTGTTGAGGACTGCCTCCTCTTCTGAAGGAAGGATTAATGTATTTTCAGTGATTGGGCATCAACCTATGAACAAGGAAGTCACAATTCAACTTCTGGTCTGGGCACATGCCTGGGTTGCGGGCTCTAGCCCCAGTAGGGGAGGGTGGGAGGCAGCTGATCCATGATTCCCTCTCATCATTGATGAAATTTACATTATGAAACTTTGAGTAAGAAGATATCCTTCCATAATGTGGGTGAATCTCATCCAATCAGTTGAAGTGCTGAATAGACAAAAAGACTGGCCTCCCTGAACAAGAAGAAGTTCTCCAGCAGACTGCCTTCGGACTTCATCTGCACCATTGGCTCTCCTGGGTCTTGAGACTGCAGCCCACACTGCAGATTTGAATTTGTCAGTCTCCACAATCACACAAGCCAATTCTTTACAATGACTCTCTATATGTATATACGCATGCCTTCTATTGGTTCTGTCTCTCTGACTAAAACAGCAGTGCTCAGTACAGCGGGTGAAGAGGGCTGCTTTGATAATGAGCTGAAAGCAATGTTGCCATTTAACATTGAACTGAGCACTGCATGCAATGCTTTATCATGATATAGAAACAGTGAGTTTGAACACTATCCAGTCAGTTTACCTATGATTGGTCATGCCAGATAATTATCATGTGTGACCCATCAAAGTTTAATACCTACAGCTGCAGTTCCTAAACTGTGCACTGAGGTGCCCTGGACACTACTACAAACTCATGGGGACACAATGGAAGCACAGAGACATCTGTTGGACATAGAGGGAAATGGCATCATCTGTCAGGCACTGTCATTTGGACTTAACCACTTAATAACTGCAGTCTCTAAGCATTTATTTTGGCCTAAGAATGTGTAAAAAAAATTTCTAGGACACTAATGGCCCATGAACTGAGAAACTCTGGGAACCTCTGACCTAGAGGATAACTGCTGATGTTAATATTTTGTATTTCAGAATAGCATGAACTGTAATAGAAATTTTGTGCATCTTGGTTGTGACAATATTCTCAGATTTTCCTTGTTTGTCATGAACTTGACCATTTTTAGAAGTGCTAGTCAAATCTATTGTCGATGCCACTCTATTGGAATTTGATTTTTTTCCTATGGCTAGACTGAATCTATGGGTTGGGTAAGGAAGATTAAGTGCCATTTTGATCACATTTTATTAAGGGTATGTGTCATCCATGTGATTTACAACTGTTGATGTTGACCTTGATCACCTGGCTGAGGCGGTGTTAGTTGGATCTTTCCACTCTAAAGTTACTTTTATACCTCTTTTCCATACTGTACTCTTTGGAAGGAATTCACATTGTCAGGCTCACCTTAAGGTGTGATGAGTTATGTTCCACCTCCTTTAGCGGAGAGTATATTTACTTGGAATTATTATTCATGAGCTATTCATCTCTTTCTCCCATTTATTATTTTACTAGGGGCCCAGCGTATGAATTTGTGCACCTTGAAAAGAACTGTGAGCCCCAAGGCTGTGGTGGGCACAGGGGCAGGTCTCAGCTCATCCCACCTGGCTCCTCCCACTGTGACCCCTGATTCTGTCTGCCAACAGCTGATTGGTGACAGCAGCAGGTATAAGTGGTGCCTGCTGCTCTGATCACCCCTTCGGAGCAGGGGGAGGTAGAGAAAGCCTCAGGAGCAACTGAACAACTGGTCACTATGATATGCACTGACCACCAGGGGACACACATGGAACATGGTAGGCATCGGCAACAGGTGGAAGAGTGCAGAACATGGCGGGTATTGGCAGCAGGATGGTGGAGCAGGTGAGCATGGGCGCCACTCTAGGAGGGGTCCAGGTTGCTGTCATTGGAGCAAGCCTCTGGTGGTTACTGAAAATTCTTTGCTCCCATGCACTGTGGTCCCACCTGGCACTCACATCTGCTGCTGATGCCTGGCACAGAT